TCGCGAATAGCAGAAATCAAAGCAGCTTTCATAGGTCCAGTATTCGAGCCCGCACTACCTCGAGGACTCCAACGTGGCATATTGTCAGGATCTGCCTTAAGTCGGATCGCCTGAGAAGGATTTATTATCATTCCATCGACATCCTTGATGAGGCTGCCAGATTCGATAGTCTCGGTATGCGATCGGGCATCATCAAGGTGATGGCTCATTTGATGGTTATCAAAGGAATTGATTAAGTCTGTATAAGATCTCTCGCCGGAATCATGCGAATTAACGGTTTGTGGACTCATGGGAGTATGAGCACCATTCGTATTATACCGTTGAAGATTTGAGCCCAGAAGCAAGGAAGTATCTCTAGCAGATGCTCTATCTCCCACTGACTCCGGATGCTGACTGGAAGATGATCTACCGGGCCATCCGTTGGTGGGTAGTGGAGGCAGAGGGAAATTTGGAAGGGGCATTTGTGGTGCTTGAACACTGTAATGGCTACTAGCGTCGCTGTTTCCTAGTCCAAGAGGCGACGGCATGATTGGCGTAGAACTTGAGCTGTCTGAAGTCTTGCTGGGTTTGCGTCCAGCCTTTTCATCCATTCTATTGAGCGCCGCAGCTAAGCCAAGGTAACCAATACCCAACTCTTTCTCAATTTTATCACTTCCCAAACTCCATTGGAAGACCAATGCGCTCATCCTCAAATCATCCCTTGTTTTACTCAATGTGCCGGCCATTTTTCTAATATCATTAGGAGTGTTACTGAAGATTTTTCCCCAACCTCGCTTGAAACTTCCAACATTTTCATGTTGAAGGAATTTAGCAAGCAATTGGTAGAACACTTGGAAATTCGCTTGGGTGGCTCGAAACTTGTGATCGAGCTCTGTTATCATTTCGATAGGGAAGTTTTGTACATGGTGGTTGCATTCTTCGAGCCCAGCTTCGATTGAAAAAAGGATGTGACAAGTGTCGAGAAAGTCATGGGCGAGGGCTTCGAAACCTTGAGGTAGCTCTTTCACCGTGGTAAGGTATTCCAAGACCCTAACCGAAATGCGATCGCTGAGAGCTGTCGTCTTCAGGCAGAGCTGCATACATTGTGCTTGTGCTTTGGAAAACTTTCCGGAATTTGGCGTTGGTGGTGCCATGATTTGTTTTTGCTGCGGGGGTGGCGCAAGATTTCTAGGTATTGTTTTTTCGGGAAGAGTCTTTTCAGCTAATGTTCTTTCGGGGAAAATGCTATATGTGTTGTGATTGGTACTTGGACTATTGGGAGATGGTGGTAAGCCCAATTCTCCTTTGGATAAAAGTTGGAAAGAGTCCTTGGAGCTTAATGAGAGAGCTTCAGCGAATGAGTATTCAGCAGCCTCGGCTCTTTGCCTGGACACTGCAGCGGCCTGTGTGCTCATACTGATTTGGGAGAATTGAAAAAGAGAGTAAATGACCAATCTGTATTCAGAGAAAAAGCAATAGAAGGTGGAGAACGGGAGACTTTATGATTATCATTTCGTAGAGTTACAGTCCCCGGACTATGCCCTCAGACCTCTTCACAGCACGAGATATTTGAATTTGATTCGCCAATAATTGACGAGCTCGATCCATTTGCAGTTATCGCTATTAAAATCTTTATCTCTGAATTACCAACAACTGCAAACTCTAATATAAGCCCAAGCTATTGAGTGAAAATAATCATGGAAGTACCAGTGATAGACTCGCCGAACGGTTGAATTCGTATTGCCATAGGCTATCTTTACCCAGATATCTCTTAGTCTCAATTTTAGGTCCAGGTTTAGACCGAAGTCTAGCCCACTAGGGGTAGAGTGGAGTCCATCGCACGAGCTGAAGTACGCGAAGTGGGTAATCAGCGCAAGGATACAACCGAGATGCAAGGAAGGGCATAGAAAAGGACACCATGAAAAGCTCAGGGTCCAATGTTCACTTAAAGTACTTGTTGGGGAACGGTTGGCTGGTTCGTTTTCAAGAGATGGAGATTCATTAGCAATTGGTTGATACCATGATAAGATGATTCGCAATTTCAAGTATCATGTTACATATGTACCGTCCCGCCACTGCTTCATTTCGATTGTGATGGAGCTACAGCCGTTCAGTCAGATCCAAATCACAATTTCCTAGAATTTTTAAAGTCCAATCATGAAGTCCATCAAATTATTCAAATATCGGTTCAATGGCAAACAGCGATCAAGCATCAAATCCATTATTTCAATTAGTCAACGCCCGGTCCAATCATGCGTGAAATCGTGTAAGTCTGTGTGGTTGCGTATAGTCGGCGAGTGTCAAATTTCTTCCTGGAACGACCGTAGTGAGATTGTAAAAAGGAGGACTAGTACTGAATAGAAAATGAAGAAGCTGAGATTATATAAAAACGGTCGGAGTTATGATTAGCTCAGGCCCTAACGCAATCGCCGATGTTCGTGTAAAAAATGCAAAATGCGCTAAGTAGGGCTCGCATTCGAAGATTCATTCTCCATTTCAGCAAGTTTTCCCGATGCCTTTTGCAAACACTGCCATCTCACTCCGCTGAAGCCTACAATACTATTGAATGCCTTATCCCTTCCCCTCATATTTTCGAGTAGTACAACCACGTGCCCATTTTGTCTCGCACTGTGCATATCGCCACCAGCTTCCCCACGAAACTTCAGCTCTAGTTTATCTTTTCCGATAGTCATTTTCGCGAGTGGAGCTAATAGCAATTCCTTCGTCTGTTGTTTTGACATTTCGATCAACTCACTGTATGGTTTATTGAACGTTTTGCAGGGCAATACGTTAGAAACTAAAGCTTCAAAACGAATAGTTTTGGTAGAAATTATGAGATGTCCTGGGACATGATGCAAAGTGCAACGAAATGACAGAAGATCTTTAGATTCTTCATGCATAGTGCCCAAACCAAAAGCTCGAAAATACATCGTCTCGGCTTTGGGACTATTCGCATCGTTGCCCACTGGCCCCACCATCACCTCCGGACTTCCGAATCGGTCAGTTGGATTCCCCAATGCGTGCTGGTTGATTTCTTTTAAGGCAGAAGAAGCACGTTCCTGAAGATATTGGATAGACCATTCTGGGTACGTGGGAATATCCCAAAAAGCCCACTTGAGCGGCGAAACAAGCAGGCGATACCGGGGATATAAAGAGCTGATAGGCCAGCAACCAAAAAATATAAGACCGACCACAAACCAGAATACCTTCATGGTGAACTGCATTGAAGCACATGCACTAAGTAGAAACACGGCTAAAAAGAGGAAAAGAGAGTGAAATGTGTTCTTCGGGCGGCGAAAGTGAATGAAACTGTCGTAGACCTCAAGTAAGTTGGCCAAATCCGCAATTTGTAACTGTAGATATGGGCCGAGTTTGTCCAAAAGAGGGCCTAGCCAGTCTTTGTTTCCATGCTGGCCCATGAGCTCTCCGGCCTTCAGAGCTGTAGTTCCTCGATCAATATTTCTTGAAAATTCATCCCGCAACGCGGACACCGATGATGGGTAATAGTAGTTCTTTGCAGTCGCGTAGACAATATACGCATACTGAACACAAAAAGGTTAGAGAAGATAATGTGTATCCGAAGCTTACTTACCAAGAATGACATGATGTATGATGTGTACCAAAGCAATAGATATGATATCAACCATTTAGATGTTCGCCATTGGTCCTCCCATCGGTAAATCTTCCTGATATCTACTGCGAATTCCTGCAATGGAGCACTAACTATGATCAGTCTTTCTACGTGTCTGCGGAGAGTGTCGATATCGAAGGGAAGTTCTTCAAAATCATCGATGTATTGCGCGGCGAAAGGGCGTGAGCCATGAAGAAGTTTCTATTGATTACTTAGAATGAGGTTGATGATTTCAAAACTGTGCAGACTCACATATCCAATCCATTTTTCCCAATTAAATTCTGTGAACCCATGATCGTCTTTCCTTTCAAAATGTTGAATGGGCGGGAATGGTGTAGGAATATTATCAACAGCTCGAACACGGTGAACATGTCTGGCGGTAACCCAAGCAACACGCATTTCCTCTCGAGTTCGCTGGATTTTGTCAACCCTCTTTTCGAAGTAGTCAATGTTATTTAGATGGTCCTCAATCGCATCCTCATCATTGCCAGCATGTTGAGCGTCCTTGGCTTGCTGTAAACCATCGTGGGCTTCAAGGAAGTCAAAGTTTGCTTGATTTGAGAGATATGGCCGACTTTTGGCCAGTTTCCCCGCAGTCTGTCTTGTGGCTTTCGATTTGATTGACGCGATAGGGTGAGCTATAGCGTCTGCAGTCCCCTGCAGGACGTTTTTGGTTCTTTCTACTCGCGATCCATTTCCCAATCTGGAGGTATTTAGTACCTTGTCTGCGTCAAAAGCTGGGCTCCGATTGATCTCTTCCACTACAGCGTCGAAAAATTCGTCCTCTTCATTATCTTTGGAAGTGAAATTGCTACCGTCAATCCTCAACAGGCGTTTGGTCTTTTCCTTTGCTTTTGATCGTATGTCATCGGGTTCATTGTGAAGTGATGAATCACTCAAGATTTGGGAAACCAGAGGTTCCTCATTACGCATCATAATCTTTTGTTTGGTTTCGTCGCAGTAATTACCTGGCTAGGTAAAGGATATCGTTTGACTCTGATCATTCTCGGGCTCGAAATATATTTATCGACCTTCTCAAAGGTGACACCAATGGTGATGATACCAGTATCTGAATGTAAATACAGGTATTTTCCAATAAATCAAGAAAGGCAATTGCCTCTATATTACTGCGAGGCTGAACGAGGCTGTATTGCCTCTGATGACGATGCCGTCGGTCGGCTTTGTTTATGTTGTTTGAACTTGTGAATTTTGCGGAGCTAACACTCCGTACGTGGAAAGCTTGGTTGTGGCTGAAGCTACCCCACCAGCATTCTGTGGCTCAAGATATCAGGCTCAGGCTCAGCCTTACCTGAACTTATCTTTGCTCCGAGCCTCTACTCTATTCTCAAGATCGACCTTCAATATTACCTCAGATTTGGACTTGTACTTTATGAAGTCACTATGTCCCCTTTTCAGGCGTGTTTGCAACACGAAGAGCTCATTATGTCGCACCCCCAAACGATCTCTCCTGACGCTGGCGATTGAGACTTCGTGCGATGATACAAGCGTCTCCATTGTAGAGAAGCATGCAAATAATTCTGCCACCTTACACTTCAATTCCAAGGTTACATCGGACAACAGATCATTTGGGGGAGTGTGGCCTATCGCAGCACATGAGTCTCATCAGAAGAATTTAGCGCAATTGGTGAAAGAAGCTATTAGGACTTTACCTCGACAAGAATCCACAGATGCATCATTTGAGAACACTATAGCCGTCGCATCACATCATGGATCCAAGTTATACAAAAAGCCAGATTTCATCACCGTAACCCGAGGCCCAGGGATGCGAGCGAATCTCATCACTGGTATTGATACTGCGAAAGGTTTGGCTGTGGCATGGCAAATCCCTCTATTAGGTGTGAACCATATGCAGGCCCATGCTCTAACGCCACGAATGGTATCCGCCCTTGAAGCGGGAAACAAAACTGAAAACGAAAAGTATGAGAATGATCCTGCCTATCCGTTCCTCTCTTTGTTGGTTTCTGGTGGACATACCATGCTTGTCCATTCTCGTCAACTTTGCGACCACGAAATCTTGGCAACAACCTCGGATCTTGCGGTTGGAGACATGGTTGACAAAACAGCACGAGATATTTTACCAGCTTCGGTAATTGGGTCTGCATCGGATGTCATGTATGGACGTGTCATGGAAGAATTCGCATTTCCCAATCCCAATTCCACCTATGATTACGAGCCCTCTCAAAAGAGTATTGCACAGATTCCAAGGCCAACAAAATATGAATGGACATTAACACCTCCCTACATGAGTACTGGTCATCGTCCATTAAAATCTTACAATTCAGAATTCTCGCTTTCTGGTGTCGGAAGCCAAATTAAGCGCATTATGAACCGAAACCCAGAAATGGATGTTGTAGAAAGGAGATTACTTGCTCAAGAGACTATGAGAATCGCATTTGAACACCTCGCTTCTAGAGTGATTCTAAATCTTGAGCGCCCAGATTTGAAGGAAACAAAAACCCTCGTTGTCTCAGGAGGTGTTGCTGCAAATCAATATCTGAAGTATATATTGAGGTCATTACTAGATGTTTGGGGGCACAAGAATATGAGGTTGGTATTTCCACCTCCAAGATTCTGTACAGACAATGCAGCTATGATTGGGTGGACAGGTATCGAAATGTGGGAAGCTGGCTGGAGGAGCGATTTGGATATACTGGCGGCTAGAAAATGGCCAATTGACCCCAGAACCGAAGGCGGAATACTTGGTTTAGATGGCTGGAAGAATGAAATTGTTTAGGTTAGCTGTCAAATTCTCCTTCTGTCGCCGTTCTTCAATCGTATGGCGATCTTATCTCCCGAGCGTCGATGTCAAAAGATCTGCGCCGAAATTGCATTTTGATATCTCCTCAGCTTCTGCCTCGTCTTCCCTTGGACATCTTCTCCTTACCGAGTTTTGACTTTCTATCAAGCTTCAGAACCTCTTTGATCGATGTAACAGTATCTAAAACGCCCCCACCCCCTCCTCCCCTTCAAGTTTTGAAAGATGCTCAACGATAGGTAGCTTAATTCACAAAGTGTAAATCAGCGGTCCTGTTTGATGTGCAAAAGCAAACTCAACCCTCTGTTGAGCAAAGAGATTAGCAGGTCCCATTTTAAGAAGGTGGATACAGGATTTGGTAGAACGGAGATATAGTTTGCATAATACCAGCTCCCAAGTTCCAGTGTGGTTTGCATTATCCTTGATAGCTCTTTTTGTGCAATTATTACTCACTTTAGGGTGTTGGATGATTGTTAATTAAAAAACAGAGGGCTGGTGGAGTGAATTTGTTTGTTATTAGTAAAGGTAGTTCATTATTGAAGGGTTTGTTTGGGTTTGACATCCTCGTCTAAAAAGATAGTGGGAGGTCTAAGGAGAGATCGGTGTGAACAGTAGGTCTGATATCGTTGTGAGCATTTCTTGAACTAATTAATTCTAAATGGAGCATTCCCTCCATGAAGTATTCATAGATTTGTCCTGATTGTCATTGTTATCTATGGACTCAAAATATGGTCAAGTCGTCTTGCTGCAGTCTTTTGTTGTCTTTGTTATGATTGTTTGCCTTTTGCCATTAGCATCTATTTTGCCAACCCGAAGTTTATAGATTGACTCAGAGCAAACTATTTGGGAAACATCACAACATCTCTGCAGAGTTTGCGCAAGTGATAATTTGTATGAGTAAGAATGAACTTATGTGACTAGGACTGGCTATATATCTGGATCACTTTACTCAGTAGTTCTTCCTTCTTATAGATATCAGACAATATAGCCTTATGCTTTCTGCATATATAAGATCTGTACACCTAATAATTCAGATTTTATCAAACTAGACGGGCACTAACAATAATAGTCGGCTCTTTAAGCGGCCGACTACTTCAAAGAAACTGATGCTAGTGTTTTGAAAAATCATCTAGTTAGATCTTCCTTGCTACTTTCACATTGGATATGAGATTTCATCATCTCATTTCCTCATTCGATTGCTCATTTCTCCGTATAGTTGCACATTTATCCATAGTAGTGGTAGTAAATTCGAATCGAATCATCTGTCTATCTACTCATTTCTTTATAAAATTGCCGAAGTACTCCCAAGATGAAGAAATCATTCACCATCATGATACTAATGTTTAAACTTGACTCGAATCTGTCTATATTAGGCCCTCTTCCCGAGCACAGAATGCACAATTTGTGATTAGTTTTTATTTTCTGTCTACAAAAGCAGCTTTCGGAACCACACATTTTCTATCCTACAGCATTACAGCAAGTTGTACATTTAGGTAATTTTATTAATCCTTCCCTCAATCAACCTAACAGACAATTGTCTTCGAGTTCTTTGGCTAATGCTCTCATTTGTTATAGAGTTCGCCTGTTTTGTACCATATACCGACTAAAATGCCTACACCACCTGGCTCTGGCTCTCAAAAGGATAGGAAAGATTCTCTATCAGGAAAACCCACAGTTCCATCATCATCTGGACCAAAGAAACCTCCTCCCGTCACAGCTCAGCCTGATGAAAGGCTACCTGCTGCACCTCTTATCTTCGATAACACTCCACAACAATCATCTGTCAATGATGACCAACAAAATGTCCGAGACGTTGCCACAGGACATAACTCAGAGGTTATACGTCCTTTCAATCTACCAACTCTGCCATCTCAGAGGCTCAATCCACGAAATATTTTTGCCGATCCCTTCAAATGGCAACCACTTCCAGGATAGCCTTTGAGTCCAGTTCATGACAGCTCTCTACCACAGAATATCTGGAGACCACAGAGCTGCGCGAGATATAGCAATACTAGGAATGATAGTGCAGCTCATGCCAATCCCTTGGGTCCAGACATCTGGAAGCCGCAAAGTTATGCAAGGGATGGTGATAGAGACAGCCATGGTTCCCGTCTTTTCACTCCTACTCCAAATCCTCGAGGAGCAAGCTCAAGAATGAATCAGGTCAGCTATAATCAGCAACGACCCCCTCCCTTAGCACATGCTGTCCCACCAACCATCAATAGGTCCACCCAACGACTCCCTCCATTGGCACCAGCTGCTCCAAAACCAAACAAGACGTATGCTCTACAGTTTTCTTCATCATCAGAGGCTAGACAACCTGCGAAAATCAAATCTGCTCCTCACCTTCCTATACCATCGCAGGCTAATTTAACTGCCAACATCAGCTCGGCTACAAGGCAACCCTTATTAACACCAGCTGTCCCACAAAACCCTCGATCAACACAAGATGTTCCACATCCCAACATCAACTCCGCTGCACAACCACCGGTAGTAGATCCCACTAATACCTTCGATTACATTCCCTCCGAAAAAGCCGAAGAGCTCCGAGATAGACTCTTCAAACTTACCTCTGACTACCAGCGTCTCTACAGCGTTTTCATGTCTAGCGGAGACGCCAGTCCCAATGCTGCTCGCTGGAATTCAGTCGACATCGATCTTCCATACCTCTTCGAAGTTCGTCAACAAATCATCAATTTCCTGGTTGCTACGGAGAGATTCGAAAATGGAGAAGAGATGAAAGACGTGCGGGGATTTAAGGAATCTCAGAAATCTTTTTTCAAGAATTTGGAGGAGGTTATCAGTGTTGCTGTTGAGAGGATGACTTGGTTGAGGAGAGATCTAGAGGGTCTGGATGGGTATGCTTATCAGCATCAGAACTGGTATTATCAGGTCATTGGAAATAATCCGCGGAGTACTTGTTTGCCTTCTGCGAAGGAGGATGAGAAAGTTGAGGGTGAAGATGCTGGAAATGATGGAAATTCTGGAGATAATAGAGATGGTGGAGAATCGATTGACAAATCTACAAGACATGGCAATGAACATGGTAACTTGGTGTCTCCATCCTTGGACTCCGAAGATGAAAAAGAGATGAGAGCGGAGAAGCGCATGAGGATGTAGTTTTGAGGGACTTGGTGTATTGTTTGGGGTTGTTTCTGGTGGTCCTGTTTAGAAATTGAACTATCATTGGCTGTAACGTTCTCCTAGATACTGGTTATTTAGATTTCTTCATTGTTTCTTTAGCATGTTTCTACACTTTCTTTTTGGGATGCCAATTAGTATTCTGGCACATTTTTTTCCAACGATCTGGAGAACTAAAGGGAGGATTTGTTGTAGCTCTAGATACATATGATAATGAAAGGGCTTGGCAATGAGAATCTTCTAAAAAATTAGCATTCAGGCTATTCGAAATGCATGACTTCCAAACAAGAGTGATTAAGAATAGATGCTATAGTATTATCAAGCTAACATTGAGTACATGTCCAAAGGCAAATGAAGAAATCTAGAATATGTGAAACCCCTCCTTTTTTTTGGCTTTTATCGCTATGAAACGCAGAAAAATAGATTCATCCAACGAAATAACTAATCAAACTGGATACATAGGGAAGTGTGATATCTCGTTTATGCTAATCACTATAAAGAAAGGGCATTGAGTAGAAGTGAAGATCAAACTAGGAAAAGTTTAGACACCGGCAGAGTACTCTTGAAGCACCAGAATAGCTCCACAATTTCAAAACTAAGAAACATTTCGATGATGAGACAACCGTCGTGCATAAGACGAATGCAGGTTGCGGGTATAACGCGCCAGTTAATCCCAGGCTACGAATTAACACTCCTCGAGACGGAGAAGGAAGTTTTCTTGCCAGCGCCCAAATCTAAAGCCAGCCTCTCTGCACTCATTTGAAAGTACTATGGCATCCAATTGTTTCCATCCCGGTTGCCCGAGCCACAGATACAGGAAATTGATGACTTTGTGATAAGTATCTTCCAAAACAGAGCCACGCTCTTCTTTAGAATGATCTTTCACCATATGATTGAAAAAAAGCTCTCGGTGAAAGCAGCCGTTGACCTGGAACGAACATAACATGCAATTTTTTGTTCCATCGTCTAGATATTGACGATCATTACCTGTGAAGAAGTTTCTCAGAAGCTCCGATCCTTGACGGCGATCAGAAAGTTGATGGGTGAGAATGTGCTGTTGCATCACGCGCTTGTGGTCGAGATCTTCATCATCAGCTGTGAGTCGATAAGTACAGCCAATTGGTGCCAACGGGCAAACATCAAGACTGCTCAAACACAAACGATGAAGCCAGAATGGAATGGAACGGGTTCCTAAGACTTTCTTATTGATGAATTCAAGATTGGGTTGGGCATCGTCGCCTGCATAATGACTCTTGGTGAGATGATCAATTAATCCTGGGATATCAAAGGGTGCAGACTGGCAATTCTCAATAAGGCACCGATAACTTCGCGAGCTATCATGTTTTCGGAAGTGTTCCATGAACTTGTCTGCTCTTTTGAATGGCTTCGTAGTTCGATGACACCCATAAACTGGACAGACTACCTGGAAGTTTTGCAAGTGGATATTCTTCATATGTCGCTGGCGTCTTGAAAAATATTTCATTAGCTATGCGTTCGATTTTTATGATGCCAGGAAAATCGGAAATATCAATGAGTAGGTAGATGAAGAACGATATTACTGCAACGAGTCAAGTTACTTACTCATAATCGCGCGGGAAACTCTTGTTGCACCCTGGGTGGTGGCAACTCAATCTGCCCTCTAGCCCTCTGAGAGGAACCTCGTGAGATCTGATATTTTAAGTTTTAGCAACAATCCCGGTTTTACATGTCATTGCTACTTACCCATCGGTTGCTCCTGATAATGTTTGGGGACTTGGTAAAACTAATGGTGCAGTGGCTATCTGGCCAGGAATTTTCTCATTATTGACGAATGGAGTCGGTGAAAACTGTTTACTTATATTACCAGCTTCTATGAAGCCAGTCATCGAAACCTCGACATTAGGTTCTGCCGGAGAAAGTTCGTTCCAGTCGCCTGAATTGAAGTCGATCGGCATATAATCTTGAGGCTCTGGTACAAGCGTAGCAGCATATGAAGTGCTCAATAGTGTAGTGTTCAAGAATGCTGGTAATGCTAGCTCATAACTTTCACTATTCTTTCTCTTCAAAAGATCGGTATTATAATCTGCGGCAGCACCGAAGTCGTATGATTGCTCGTCAATATCGTTATTCTGTCCCCTAAAGAGTTCGGCATTATGATCTGCTGCAGCACCGAAGTCGTACGCTTGATTACATTGTCTGGAGTAGCCCTAAAATTAGCGTGTCTTTTTTTTTGGCCACTCACCTGGAATAATCCAATGATTCCAAAGTAAGAAGTCGCCCTGCAGGGCTTCCGGCGTTGGTCTCCATCTAATTGGAGAGAAGTTGCGAAAATAAGCAGCCACAAAAAAATGAGGCGAGCAAGCGAGTTTGATCGGTGAACGAAGTTCTGCGTAAGAAGAGAAAAATGAGTGCCAAAACTTCGAGAAATGGTAGTGGGAACAAGCTGGTATCTTATAATTATTATGTTGAAGACAGACCCTGCAATGGGGCGACGGCATGGATGCAGAAGACGGGCCAAGCCCTACAAGAACATTGGGAGGCTTGCATAGATCACGTGTATTCCACTTCCTAAAAGGGTCACATGCATAATCTTGGTAGGTTGTGAGATATTAAGTCAGCATTCTTGTTGAAGTACCATACGTGAGTTTCCATTTGTCACTGCAATTGCTCGTTGTTGTTCTAAGAAAACTACGTAGGTAGGTACTCAATATTTCCACGGGTCTAAATGTTGGACTCCTCAACTATCATGACGTAGTTCGAGATTTAATGTCTTATGCAGTTGGTGCATTGCGGTTCGCATACTGCCAGAGAGTCCCAACAAGTTGTTGTTCTGGAGATATGTTTGAGTTGATACTTGGTCGCATATGCGCAATGGATCACGGAGACAGCGAAAGGTACCAAAACATTTTAGTCGGTTTGGCTTTAAATCGACTATTCACTTCAAATAATTTCTCCTAATACAATCATGTTTCGAAGTAGTAGCTAAGTTCTATAATTTGACAAGGCTCTATGATACTCCTTCCTTGGACTGCATGGCATTGTTGCTCGTCGTCTCAATCCATAATAGCGCGGGGCAATCGAATGATCTCGAAAGATATAGTGAATACATGACCATGCACATCTTAATTGAAATTGAAATCTGAGTTTAGATTTCAGAAAGCTGTCACAAACCTCTCCCAGTTTCTTGCTGACGGACAACTTGTCCGTACTACCGGCCATGAACAACTTTACTTCATTTTTAGCTTCATATAATGAGCTTGTCGAGCAGTGGCAAGAGCGACTTCGTATCCTAAGGGACATAGAAGAGAAAGCAGTGGAGTTTCCAGAACTTATGCGGATGATTTGGATTTTCAAACAGTCTTGCGTTGAGTTTCAAAATTTTCAGGTTTGTTTGTGGGGCTCTCCGGCAATGGGACTGTAATACTAATTTTTTTCAGGCCAAGCTGAATTACTTCAGCGCAGAATCTCTATCTGGTGATCTCTTCAATCACTGGCAAGAATTGAGCTCTGATTATAATAAGATTCGAGCTTGTTTTGCTGCTCTTGAACTGAGCGTGGACAAGTATCACCACTCCCGAGCAATGGCTGAATCGTCTCCTCATACTTCAGTCGATCTATCTCGACCATTTGTCAAATTTTCCAATATTCATAACAGCAAATCCAATGCGGCCAAAATGAGAGGCTCAAGAATCCTTAAGAAGAAGTCAAGAAAGCTCATAATTTCCATTCCGATTCATACAATCGAAGGTTCATTTTTCGACGGGACCAAAAGAGCGCGGATTGTAACAAGAGAGTCGGGGGAGTTGACCTTAATTCTTCAAGTGAGCAAAGAATATCTAACTTTGAATGCGCGACCTTCACTAGATATGGAAGAAGAAATGCGACTTTGTGAGTACATCAGGATTCTTTTTATCATCATATCTTAATTGATTCTGACTTCGAATTATAAAAGCTATTTTGCGCCATCAAAAAGCAGGGGAAGAAGAAGCACGGAAACAAGCAGAAGCAGTTGTGGAGGCAGCGCGGATAACAGCGATCAAGAAAGCAGAATTTAAAGCAAAAGTTCAAGCCGAATATGAAGCAGAGTCCCAGGCAAAAGCTGCAGCAGAATCTCAGGCAAAGGTTGAAGAGGAAGCTCAACTTCAGCAGGCCACCAGCCAACTTCCATTCAATTCTGATGACTCCGTTAGTCCAGAGAGCTGCAAGAGGGCCATCAGTAATGGTAGTATGCCTGAACCAATGTCAAGATTTCAAGCCCCTGGCATGGAAGAAATTCGACAAGCTCTGATTACTACCACGAACCAGATGTATCTCAGTCATAAACGAACAGCAAAAGCTTCCATGATCAAGCGCCGAGTTAGGAAGGAGTTTCAGCTTGGCAAGAACTTCTTTGAGGAGAATGATTGGCCAAAAAGATGTGACATAATCATCTTGAGGGCATTCAAGGAGGCCTGGGTAAGTCTTCCGTCAAGCACATGTCAGGCACAATACCAAAGAGGCTTTAAACTACAGTGAACTAACTCGCTTGGTGTCATGAGTAGCATTCCGAACTTGTGGGATATTAGATTTAAATTTCGGAAAAAACCTCGGAGATCTTTTTTATTTGAAGTGAGTGTTGTTGAGATCACAAGATCTTTCTTACCCATACTGATTTCTCATTAGGGCTCATTCACGGCACTGCTAGGTTATCACTTGGAATTGGTGGCAGAAGTTTATGGAGTTAAGCGATCATTATTGTTACTTGCTAAGAATCGCGTCTCTATCTTTTTGCGATTTGTGATCACCGCTGGGAAAGGCATTTCTATACAGAATATTACATACCATCAATGGGAGAAGCTCATATAAACATAATTTTGAAAGGCAACAAGCATAGTTGATATGAATCTGATCAAAAGATTTTTTCTTTGGTGGAGAGTGCAATTGCAGGTATATGTTGTGGACTGAACTTGACCCCGCCTTTGATGACACCGATTCACTTTGCGCCATTCCGAGAATTCTGAAGATAATATCTCTCTTGGGAAATAAATACTCTTTAGAGACTTCAGGACACCAAAAACTCACTATCGATCTACCATACAATTTCTTTCTCATACATATCATACGCCGCCAAATTTCAGCCAATGTATATACAAGATTGATCCCTCAGACAAGACTCTCGTCCGCTCTCAGATCCCAATTTCCTCATACCACTAATCAGGTTGGTAAAGCAAATATTTCACTCCATAAAGATCAATATTGACTTTTTGACTTTAGATCTTTACCATTGAATCATTCGCCGACTTTCACATCGATCAAGTAATCCGAAATCTGCCTCATGTCGATAGATAACCTCATCGTTAAATTGCGCTACAGTAAAAGCCAGCGCGAAATGATTGAAAATATTTTGAATATGGAAGGCATTGTAGCTCGAGAAGATGGCGCTAAAGTTCAAGCTATCAGAGATAATAAGCAAGACATTGCACCTTCCAAATTGCCCCTGGTCAAAGAAAAGCTATTACGCATTCACAGATACTTGCGACGTGTTAATGATGATGAGAAAAATAGAGAATGTCTCCGTATCATACCAAGGGTACTTCAGCGTTTGCAAGAGTTTAATGACAGAAAGGGGGGAACAGGGGGATCGAGTGGCCCGCATCAACTTTTCGAGCAAGTAAGAGATACGCCTGAAGAGGTTGAGGATGCCACCACCAATACCCACCACCAAAACGAAGATCCACAGCTCGAAATTGTGAAATTGATAGCGGATAATAAGAAGTTAGAGGCTGCAAACAACGAATTAATTTGTGACGTCGACAAGAATGAGGCTGAGCTTTCAGAACTTAGGGAGGAGGTGGGACGAATCAGAGATAATAAGAGTCAGCTGGAGGATTTCACCAACAGCCTAGAGGATTCACGCAACTCCACGGATAGAGCTCTCAATATCTTGACTTCCCTCAAGAAGAAAGACAAGACATACCGGGAGCGCGTTTTCGCATTGAAGAAGGAACTGAAGGCATGCAAAACAGAGAGAGACGAGGCTCTAGTAAACCTGGACCGTCAAACCGAGAGCTTCGAGAATGAACATGCGGCTTTGATTGATGATAACACAAAGCTAAAGGGGAGACTAACAAGCTTCAAGAGAAAATTGGATGATGCAATGGCGGATGTGGAGGATGCTACTCCTTATAAAAAGAGGTAGACCACAGCGTTCTTCGAGATACCAGCTGCCAGTGATTCTTTCACAATTATGGTCTAGGTTTATTTGCTTTGGCAACATTCTTTGAAGGTTGATTCAAAATTTCTTTCAAGAAGAGTGTTGGTGTTACTCGCACTTACAGTTATTTTAGTTAAAGGGTTAGCGACACTAGTTTAGTGCTTTAATGCTATGAATTTCTGATTACGACATCCCAAAAAACACTTCCAAATTTCGATTCGGTGCATAGACTTTTGTAGTAAAATTGATACCTAAGTCAGTTGGGGATTTCGAGGCCGATATGAGACTCTATCTTTCTGAAGTGAATCATGAACGCTTGCCTAGATAGCGCAAGAGCGAGGATTCAGATTTTGAATCTCATCACGCGATATAATGGCGTTCTATAAATTGATATCTAAGAAATTTTACCGAAATTTAAATCGGGTCGTCAGCGTGTATGGGACGATATCAACGAGGCTATCACCAAATCTACCCGATGCTTGATCGCTTTATGTGCATTATCCAAGGAGACACACTGCTTTGTTTATAAACCATATATTGCTGTATTAGAAGATACGAGCAAGTCATTTCTGCTTGAGAATATCGTGTTTCTCTTTGGCGGTCTGCTACAGTGAAGTATTTTCATTGTTCCCAGAAAATTTGATTTGAAAGTGAATATGTTCAACGCGTCGAACTAACTTAAATAACTCCCAATAAACATTCACAATAACCTCCACAACAACGCGCTTTCGCACCTTTGCTATTTCACAAGGCTGCGTTCAGACATATTTTTGTGCCATAAATCGAACCTTGCCTATCAAAAATCGAATAAGCGCATGTTACCCCTCTTTCCTTAAAATGAAGCAATCCTCCAGCCGTATGCCTAGTCAGCCGACAGACCAACCCAGCAACGCCATACACAGACTATCAGAAGTGCTACCTCGATTTGAATCCCTCACCGCATCCTCAGCAGCCAATCAAGCCAAAACCGAATATCGACGAGGTGAATTTCTTGAGCAGTTAGTTAGCCAGAAATATCCGGCAGTGGTGGCCGAGGAGCACATTCAATTTATTCGTGATTCTTTCACTAGCTTCAACGACCAAATTAAAAAACTACATACGGATGTACCAAGAGTAATCCAGAGACTGAGAAGAAGTGCTAGAATTGGTAATATCGACAATGATACGAATGCTGAAACGGATGGGGAGATGGCTATGGATGTTGATGACAGAAAAGATAGCGACTATAATGAAGATTGTGGGGTTATATCTCATCAGCTTACCGCAGAAGAAGAGGCAGAAGATGAGGAACGCTGGCTTCAAGCAGTCAACGCCCTCCCAAAGGAAACGACTATGACCAAGTACTTTATAGAGATGGGCTATCAAATGCCGCCTTCTCCGCCAAAGGAGGAATCGAAGGTACAAGATCAGCAAGAACTTCAACTCCCTAGGCGTAAGACTCACTCAAAGAAATGGGTCCCGAGTCTTATTAAGAACAACAAACGCGCCTCACTACCACCGGCATGTACCGAGCAGCGATTCGATGATGCATCACTACACAATACTGTACCAAACCAGAATGCTGATAAAACTGGCAATCTGGCATGGCCAAGAGAGCCGTCGCATTCCAGCTCATCAATGCCTCCTCTCAAGCGTGCGAAGACGGTGTTTTCATCCTCTGGCAGATCGAATTTTGGAGCCAAGCAGCCCCCTCGCTGTGCCTCATGTGTACAGATGAAAAAAAACTGCGATCGTAAGACTCCTTGCGGAAGATGTTCTAGCATGCGCGATTACAAAGTTTGCATTCCATACTGGAGAGATTTGCAAAGAAATTTGGAGGCAGAGCAATGAGAGTTGGGATTCTGATTCTGGGTGCGCGTGTGCACTTGGTGTGAGTCTTTTGCTTTTGGTGTTTGGGGAATAAGAGAACTGATTAGATTACTAGTAGGCTTCATTTTGTTTCTCCGTTGAATACCATAGGCCACGATGATGTTAATGAAGTACAGGGGCGAGATTCTTGTGATCTTTTCGATAAGCTGCAGTGTCATTGGCGCATCTCTCACCTTCCTTATTCGGGGTATTCATACACAAAAAATGGACAGATGATAATTTCATGACTTTTTACAGGCCAGCTTAACTAATAGAATCACTCAGGAATAGCCGTCAATGTGGTGGCGTAGAGAGTAATGTTTTCTTCTTTCGTATCCTTTCCTTCGTGATAGGTGTTTCATCTCTTCACTCACATAATTTCAGATTATTCTGAGTTTCTTGGCGTTTATGAGAGTAATGTAGAATCGTAGATAGAATGATATTGCGATGAAATATGATGTTGATGACATCGGTATCCAATGTAGCAATGCAGTGATCTTCTGCCGTTGTTTGAATAGGCCGATAGAAGCAGGTCTCATGAACAACAATTCGATCAGGCACAATCTCTTTTACATCTAGGGCAAATAATCCAGGTTATACCCGGTGATCTAGAGGATTCCCACGTTTGCTGTAGCTCACAAAATCTGAGAAAGCAAACAATCTAGGATACATATGAATCTTTAGATTTAAACATCTACAACTACATACCTTTCCCACATTCAAATTTATTAGTGAGATATCTGCTCGGAACCAAAGCAACAATGGATACAAATACTATCTCACCACTTGCAAAATTCCTAGATGTGATACCACAAGGCTGATCTCTAATCTGCCACCATCGGGCCCTCTTAGTGCCATCAACTCTCCCAAGCAAGTGAATCAGTCTTTAATTTTGAATTTTTTGCCATTCTGTCTTTACTCTCACTTATCGGTCCATGCACTGTGCCCGTTCACTCCAAACAGTCCTCCTGAAATACGCGAGTCACATCACGCTAGCCCACAATGGAACTGCTGTTTATTTCTTATTGGTGAAGCGAAATACTATAAAATTAACCACGCTAAATTGAATTCCAGACCTTGGTACAGTACCGTTGGTTAAACAATCCTCATACCCGACTACAACCTTTTTGATTTGATTACCCACAACCATCTCTGCAAGAGACTTCATACAATCCAGAACAATCTGGTAATCTTCACGATGGTTTCCTCAACCTTTTCCGACATGTTAAAATCTCCTTACCACCCTGATCACATTTTCGGCGACGAAGATACATGGTACGATGCACCCGCCGACTTACCACACCAAGAAATTGAAGAATATTTTGATGCTCTCAAGAACCAGAATCTTCGTATCGGTTTGGCTGTGAGTAATCTAATTCATTTGATCTTACCTCTATGAAAGTTATCCTTCCTAACAGAGAAAAAGACCAACAGATTTGTCAACAATCCAGAACGGAATTATTGGCCTGTACTACCTACAGCCACTCTCCGTAACGATATCGACACCTTTGTTACAGAAGAAAATCTTGGTAATGATGATCCGGAATACATTCAACTTCAGGCCATATGCGCAAAACTTTCGAACTTGCATGAGACTCATGAGCGTGACATCGAGGTAGAAGACCATACGATCAATATGACGCTCCAAAAGCTTTGGGCTGTTGGAGAAACCTTATACGAGCCGGATAATATCTATACTGGCTCTGATTATAAGAGAAAGAGAGATTTGGTCTTGGAGAGAATTAATGAGTGTTCTCGGACAAAGGAACGTCTTGAGAATGAATATATCGACACCGTATCAAAGCTTTCAAAGGAAGCGCGGGCAATCTCACAAGAATGGAAGAGGGAACGTAGAGAGAGCGAAGACGAATTGGCCGAACAACAGATGCGGGCGAACAACTCAGATACACAACGACGTCTCCAGGATGCATTGAGAGAGAAGGCGATATTGGAAGGCACATTGATTGTTTTTCAAGCCGATAACGAGTTACTTCAGACCCATTTAGATCGATTTCAAGAAGGTTATAACCATCTTCGAAGATTGAGAGACGGTGTGTTGGGAGAACGCAATCAGACCATCAATCGTGCGATCGAAGAACGAAACAACGAACGACTTCGAGTTCGAAATCTTCAAGCCCATATCGGGGTTCACCGTGAAGTGATTATTCTCGAAAGAAGTCGACGAGATATTGCGCGAGAGAACTGCAGCGGGTTGCTGAGAAGTCTGGATATGGCAAGAGGAGAGTTGACATCGGTCAGAAGAGACCTGTTGGAGGCCAGAAATAGGGCAGATGATTTGAATCAAGGCGTTGATCTACTCAAGATGAGATTGAGTGATCAAATAAACTGGAGTGATGAGCTGGAGATGAATGCAATGCAAGGAGAGGTATTCAACAGAATGACTAGAACATGGGAGCCTTCAGTTTATAAGCGTAGACTTGAGGAGTATGAGGATCGCGAGATGGAAGAGAGAACAGCAAAGCGTGCGCGCAACTACTAGCGGTGTGATAAATGATGGATATGGTTGATGTATTTCCTTAACGATAGATAGATGAGATACTCAAGAATATTATACGATAAATTGTCTTTTTTTTCATTGACACCACAACCGATTCTTTCAAGATCTTATTTCCTTTCTGTCTGCCATAGTCAGACCTGCAATGTACTTGAGTCTATCATTGCATGTCATATGAACAAGAATGGTTTTGGATTCAGGCACTCATGCCAATCCTCCCCCCCCCCTCCCCCCAGGAAAAACATTTTATCAAGAAGCAGAGCAAGCTTTCCAATTTATACACTACACGGAAATATGACTTACTTTTATATACATACGCCGGGTGACATGGACTGGAAACACGGAACTACTGCTTCAACGTTTATCCTTTTGAGAATTTGAATGCAAATAGGTTCCGCTTGGCAGTCCAAGGGTTTCCACGTGTAGGATCTCACAACCGCCGGAGTCTTTCCTCGTTTATATTCCGAGTTCATCCTAGATATTAGCTCTCTACCATTTGTTAGTTGTTGCTCAATTTTCACATTATACCATACACCTGTCCCAATCAGTAACATCATCTACAGCTGTGTCAACGAAAAGTCTGACTGCTGTAGAAGAACTAACGGTGAATCACATGGCTAACCATCACCATGATAAGTCCTAACCAATACGGAACCTTGCCGTATGCTCGAGAGGCAAATAGAATGATTATCAAATGGACCATGTTGAATAATACGGCATTTTCATTGTCGCTAATCACTCACAAACAGCCAGCGTCGCTGTACTATATATAGGACCGTATTGAAGCATGATCTTCCATCTAGCTTAAAGGTATTTCTTTGCACCAATTTGATTCTGATTCTTTACAATAACTTTCTTGACATTAATTCGACTTGATAATAGAGAAAACTTACTTTACGATTCCAACACTTGAACACAACATCTCTTCACAATATCTAACAAGATACTTGTCGAGTTCAACACACCACCGACGATATAATACATCGATTGTCACAATGTCTACTTCTCTTCAACTGAGAGACGCCGCCGCACAAACTGATGAAGATATATTCTTCGATACTCCTGAGGAGTTATTCGAGGACGCCTTAGAGGATCAAGAGGTTAGATGCATTGTAAGTTTTCCCGCACTCCCTGGAGATATATCATTTTTCCTAACTGCTTTACAGGAAACACATCCATACCTTGCCAATCCAGACAAAGACCACTATCCAGATCTTCCAACACTTTTCCTCCGAGATGAAATCCAGAATTTCAATTATCGGGAACCAGCCCCTTACGATGTGGATGATTCTGAGTATGAGATGCTTATGGTGATTGAGGACTGTCTCACCAATTTACAAGAACAATATGAGAGAAAGATGAGGAAGGAAGACAGCTGTTTTAGACGGATTATGACTCTCTATGATGAAGTTATCAACCGTCCACATGATCCTTCGAAGATACTTAAACGTGAAGCTCTCAACAAGGAGAGAACACTGTATTTCAGACGCCTGAAAGAAATTACCAGGATTCAGGCACTTCTGGACAGAGAGTATTTGGTTGAGTTTACGGAACTCAAAAACGAAGCAGTTGCCATCATAGATAAATGGCATTCAAAACAAAGCTCGCTGGCTGCAGTACCTCAAAAGCTGGTCGTTGAAGAACATATTCGCTGGACATTGCTTAGACAAAAGCAACTTGAGTACGTTCATGATAAGACGAAAGATCTAGTCAATGACCAGGCTAACCGAATCCGAGAACTTGAGTATGCACTCGCGGTAGCCCAGCAAGCACCAGCAGCTGCTCCTTTCATCTATCAAACAACAACTAGTATGACCCAAGAGGGAATTTTGGCTGACGCAAATAACATGACCGAAGAACAAGTGTTGGCTGACGCATATAAGATGATGTATCAGCAACGAATGGACCACGTCGGCCAGAATATTGTACAGCTCAATGCACATATTGCACAAGTTGATGATGTTGTAGTTCCAAATGGGCAAGAGCAAGTGAGTGCGGAAGAAATTTTTGCTCAAGCTCAAGGACCACATGACTTCCAGAACGAAGGAAATCCAGATCTCGTGACTGATTCTAGAGAGATTCACAGTTCTCCAATCGCAGATGGCCAGCTAGAGTCCCACGAGGAAACCAACATCCCTGAATCACGGCAACCATGGAATTCTCAATGCCAAGAAAGGACAAAGCTCGTGGCTAATGCTAAGAAAAATGACGATGATACCGTCTCAAATGGTCAAACTGAAATAATCGAAGAAGGAGAAATTGCTCAAGTAGAGCAGTCAGTTAATTTTCAACAGCAGAAAACTCTAGAGCCAGATACAAATCTTCCTCAGGATCAGTCTAACTTCGTGACACCCAATGGCCAAGAAGAGCCAATCACTACTGGACCCAACATTCTCGAAGGACAGGAACATGTTGATGACAGCATCCAAGACTTCCAACAGCCAGCATATCCTCTAACTAACCCCCATCTTAATGCTTCAGTCCAGATTGTTCCAGATCGACAAGTGAATCAAAACAGCTACGTCAATTATATGGAATACGAGAACGATCCAGGCCGCATGTACCCCTTGCATTCCAGCGACCCAATCAAGAAAGCATGGGCCAGAAAGAAGTTGGATCTAGATTTTGAGAAGAAGCAGAAAGATACAATAGATGAAATTATGCAGACAGGAAGAAACGAGGCTGCATTGAAGAAGTGGGCCGAGACAGTTAGTGGTCTCTCGCAAGAGATTTCACCACATCGCCGTCCTTCAACCCACATTATCAAGGACTTCGAAGAGAACGAAGAATCTGATGATGAGTATGGCCGAAAACGCACCTATGGCACATACGAAGAAGACGAGGAATGTGAGGAAGAACACAGTAGAAAGCGTGTTCGCCCAATTACCCAGGTAGGTTCATCATTGCTTGACTATTGTGAAGAATTCTTGCTAAATGAAATGCAGATCACTCGCGGTACTCCGGCGCCTTCAATTGTTTTTGAACCCACACCGGACGATTCTGCCGGTGAAGAAATGTGGGAGGAGCCAGCTGCCGGATATGTTGGTCACGATGGCGTGTACTATGACCAAGATGGACGATGCCAATACACGCAGGCTTATGCTGGACAAGAATATTTCGATCATGATGTCAACGACGGCGGCTACCCTGTCCACCAGTATACTCCACATCAACCCCAGCAACAAAGCCCAAGCCCTTCAAATGCTCCTGTTTCCCGCATTAGATCATACGTTTCGAGAGTTACTGCCACTAAGCGCAATGGCTCAGCACCTGCTAGACTTAGCAGGCAACGAATGCTACGAATTCAATGGAATCAATGGCAGAATAACCTAACTACCCCAAGATAGGATGCTAATGACTATATGGGAGTTCGGGTCGAGAAGCTGTCGCGGGCTTGATTATGGGGGCTGGGAACTGGCTATGGATCGCAAAAGTAATGACGAGTTATGTCGAAGGGACTCAATAAAATCATTCTGCAATTAATAGGGATCTTGTAATGGTGTTAGGGTATGAAGGCATTTTGGACATAAAGGAGATGAGTGTTGGAAAGTGGTGAAATTTGGTGGTGGTATTTGACTTGTGGAACGGACTGGGACGTAGAAAGGATAATACTGTACAAAATTGGTGTATGTATTGCGGTGAATATGTTTTGCAAAGGCATCTGGGGCAATAAGACTTTGTGTAGTCATTATGAGGAAGTCTGGTAGCATGGGCATATGTCTGTTGGTAGATCTTTCATGGCAGCCCTCAGTTTACACAAGGTAGGAATGATTTCTTCTTCCTACCTCTCAGTTTTGTTGGTTCTTTCCTGTTGAATTTTCGTTTGATTCCTAAAAAGCGGCAGGAATCATACATGTATATGTATCTAAATAGCATAAAAGGAAGGAACTACCTTCTCCCAAAAAATACATATTACAGTCCAAATCTTCTTTTGCTTAAACTCGTGAACAATAATTGATCAATTCTTCTCATCTCAACCATTCACAATCACTTTTGGTAGAATATACATTAAATACTCCGTTCCTATTCGAAATAGTCATCATCGCTTAATCCTCTCAAACGCCAAGTCTAAGCTGCACGATGGCCGAACTAACTGAGTGCCCCAAGCCTTCCTTCTGGGCTGTCTTCATAGGACTGGCTGAACAAGCTGTCTGGTATGTTTCCATTGTGCCCAGAAGAGAATAAATTATCACCAAGACATTCATCAGGCTAACTATTAGTCAATAGTGACCCCTCAGAATTCAGCAATAAAGAAATTGCGGAAACGGTTGCCTCACTCAGTATTCAGAGTACAATTTCTCCGTTCCCATTTGAGCTTTCACAAATCATCACGATGGTACTCGGATTCATGGTACTAATGCAAACATCCCTGCTCTCGAGTCCATCCAATCTTATGTGGTTGATAAAATCTATCTTTTCGATTTTACACAGATTCATCTTGAAACCTTACATTACGCTCTATAAACTCGTCGGTCCCTGGAAACTTCTTTATCTTGCCGTCGAAACGTTGTCAATTTTCCTTCTCATCGCTTTCTATTATCTATACCGTGGTTCTATTGCAGGTTTGGGATGCGGAGTCAAATTTCACAAACCTAGAGAGGCCCAAAGTATCACTGGTATTCCGAACATTTCTTCAGATTGTCAACTCAGAGAATGCACTATCTATCTCTCGGCATGGTGTAACAAGCCTTTCAACTTGAAAGCCATGAGGGCCAACCTGGAAAGAAAGTCCGACGATAAAATAGAGGTTTATAAAGGAGACCAAAAATTCTATTTGGGATGGAAAAGGAGAATCAGTTCTACTTCTACGGAATTCATTATAATATTCAAAGAGATGGTAGGAGATCTATGTGCTCGTTTCAGATGGACTCATGCGGCTCTTCTATTGCTGCTTGTGTTGGTCATACAGATACCAGCTGTCTCCACGACTGCTCGATTAATACCAGGAATTATTCTTCAATGTCCCGGTTGGACAGCAGGAGTATTTCTCACTTGCTACCGGTATATGGAATCAGCTGTGACAGCAAAAGCCCAATTAATACCAGGAATTTACGATCAATCCCTCGTTGCGGCGAAAGAAGTACTCCGCCCCAGCTACCAGTATATGAGAGAAGTCTTTCAGGAGGCTACGGCGGGCCTTCGTGATATTAGCTATGAAAGTATGAATGAAGAATTCCTCAAACAAAGACGGAGCGAATCTATGCGAGCGGTGGAAGTAGGCGATGGGTATGAAGTTGTTCATGACAGTAAACAAGCTTACGTTACACGCTTCCGGAATGCCAATAAGATAGTGCGAGATTGTTTATTCTTTTTGCTTCGGGTTTGGTTTCTTTATAGTTTTGTGCCATGGATTTTTTATCTTCTGCAACGAAGATTTCGCGGAGCTGGAGATAGACGTCCGGAGGCAAGACCTTAGAAGCAAAGAAAAGGCAGAAGAGAGTGGATGTTTGGTTCTCAAAACGCCTGTATAGGCCAGCGAGTTATGAACTAGGTCTAGGATGAGATCTTCAGAGGGATTCATGCTTGAAGTTCGCGTCAATAATGATTGTTGAGCTAGTAAATAGAAAACAATAATAGCGTTGGAAATATTAATAATTGTGTCTTCTGCTGACAAAGTGCTGTGACATCAGTGACTGGAGAAAACTGGGTGGTGCATAGGACCAGCTGGATCACGATTTATCCGTCTTATTGGTACTTATGTAGATAGCTTCAACACTACAAGATAACTTTTGTGCTTCATTCGAAGCTCAAGAAGTGACTCATTTGTCACCACGTACAACTCACGCCAGGTCGATCAACTATAAGCGCACACAATTTCTTCACCATATCACTCATCAACCTCAAAAGATGCAATCATCAAGTAGATTAATTCATGTATCAATTACCCTGCACACCAGCATTCTCCCCAATAAACCCACCACTCAACACCCTACCCCCTCAAATAACCCTCTTTACCTTACTGCAACGTTCCACTAAGCACCAAATTCCTACTCGAGCTCCCTACATACACTGTCTTGGGATACTCGCTAATAAACCAGTTTTGGGTTACCGAATCCCAATTACTGATATCACGTCTCGTGATACCGTATTTGAAGGTATCGGATTCGTAGGGTTCGAGCTCCATGTCGTCGAAGCCGCGGAGAACGATTTTCGGGTCTGTAGGACCGCCGAGGGATATGTACTAAGTGGTGGGGTTAGTGGGTTTTGTGGTGATGTGGGAGGAGAAGGAGATAGAATGGGGAAAGAGATGGATGAAAGAAGAGGGGGAAGCTTACAAGTTGGGGAATTTCGGTTCCAGCAATCTTGCCCGTATTCTTGATTGTAGCAGTAACAGTGTAAAGCACATCATACAAACCTGGATTACCACCCGGTTCACCACCGGCAGCGAGAAGAGGCTGTGGGGTGCTATCCTTTGAATGAGGAGGGGCTTGATCACTTTGATTTGCGACCACAGGACCATCAAGATAAGGATACACATAAAGATTAACCTTGTGAAATCCCGGTGGGAATTGTGCAGCTGATGCATTGTAATTGATTTTGCCAAATGTTGGAGCTGATGATGTTTGTCCTTTGGTGGGTGTGTAAGGGCGAGCGTGTTTGCTTTGGATGCGCAAATCAGAGTATGAGAATGTGGTATATGAAAGACCGAAACCGAATTCGTAGGACGGTTCGATATTCTTGGCATCGAAGTGACGGTAGTCGATGAATACACCTTCCTTGTAGTTCTGTTGTGGATCTGGAGAGGAGATGGTGTAATCGACATCTACACCCCAATCTTCGCGAGATTTTCCCCATGTGAAGATGGATTTTGCTTGTGGGTTTACTTCACCGTATAAGACATCTGTAATTGAATTTCCGGATTCTTGACCAGGTAGACCAGCCCACAGAATGGCGGTTACATTGGGATGATTCTTGTATGCTTCAATAATAACAGCTCCGATTGTGTGAAGGACAATGATCGTGTTTTTGTTGATGGATGCAACAAGATCGATAACAGCATCTCCATTACCCCATAATGTTAGATTATTTCTGTCTCCTTGGTTACCGTCGACTGTAATGAAAGCTTCTCCGCCATTTGCATTAGCGAAGACTAGTGCGACATCAGCACCTGTTGCGGCTGCAGTGATGGCGGCGAAATCGTAATTGTCGCTGACATTTCTGACGGTGGTGGAGCTATGGCCATATACTTCTCCTGCTTTGGCTTTCAATGCTGTAACCGGAGATATCAGATAAGGAAAGTTTGCAGTGCCAGAACCCCAACCCTGAAGTAAAGAACAGCGGTTAGTGGATTCTATCGATCAGGTTTTAAAAGGGAACACGTACCATTGCAAGTGTGCCAATATTGCAACCTCGATCTCCACAAGCATTCGGGCCACCTGGATTGTCATGGGCATCTTCTCCAATAATAGCCAAGGTCTTTGGAGTTTTCAATGGCAATGCACCTTTGGTGTTCTTCAATAGAACGGTTGACTTGGCACCAATTTCGCGGATGAGCGGAGCATGATCACCCTGCACATTAACATGTTGGTTGATTTGGGTGAAGTCTTCGTTAGCCTGGGGATGTTGATAACCATAGGTACTGAGATTCCAAGAATTGAAGTTCACTGGAACCTTGGCTGTATCCCTGCCAACTTTGTAGTATGCAGACATAATTCGAACAACCATATCATCAAGACGCCATTGCGGAATGGTTCCATTTAATACAGCGTTGGTCAAGTTAGTACCCCAGTAAGTGTTACCTGAAGCAAGATTTTGATCTCCAGCCATTGTCATGCTGAGACTAATTAGCTCATGTTACTTTTGCGAAGATGGAGGAAACCTACTCTAGTCCGGCTAATGCACTAGCAACTCCAGAATGCTGTGCCCACCAATCACTCACAACTAGCAAGTGCTGTTAGCCTATACTTATGCCAACAATTCGAAGTACATACCAAATCCTTGGAAGTCCAATTCATTTTTCAACAAATAATTGAGGGTCCAACTATTCTCTGATCCATAACTTTGATTAATTCGATTGTATGAACACATAACGGCACCAGCTCCTGCGCGAACAGCATCTGCGAATGGCCTGTACAATCTTTAACTATATCCCGCGGCGAGATATTTGATACTCACCATAAATAAAGTTCATGCATGGTCTTATCATCTACGTTTGCGGACAATGCAGCATTTCCATTGCTAGGTTCTCTGAAATGTTCTTGCTCATTCATGATGTAATGTTTAGCGCAAGCGACGACTCCAGCATCCTCTGCAACAGAGAAGTTGTCAGCAGTCATCCTCGTATTGGAATTTTGGAAGACAGAAAGTTGTTAAAAGGAATGAGTAGTCTTACGAATTCCTTCGATTGTTGCCATCATGCTAACTCCTGTAAGAACAGGGTCTGGGCTGAAACCTTCCCAATTTCTTCCACCTTCTGGTGCTCTGCCAATTGGACCTATTTTAGACTAATTAGATTCAGCATTGAATGGAATTTGACAAATCACTTACCAGCTACAGGACCCAATTGAACATCGATACCCTTTCCCCGATGTTCTCGGCCCATCGCAATACCTCGAGCATTAATCAAGTCATAACTCCATGTTGCAGCAGCATTCATTCCAGCAGGGAAAGCGGAATTCTGATCGGCTAGTCATCACGCGTCAGTCATTATATAGTCTTCATGTTGCAAGGGAACTGACTAAATCGAATGCCGAGAGGAGAATCTTGTAGGCAAAGTCCCGGGAAACCCAATCGTGGAATTGTACCAGTATTTCCTACGCAAGATTCGCCCTCCCAACCAACACCGGTGGTAAGGTTAACTTTCTCAAGGAGAGTGAGCTGGCTAACAAATTTCTTTGCTTTGGCGTATGCATCTGCCCAATCACCATTGCCATTCATCCATGGAGATGGATAACTAGGAGGAGAGAAATCTCCATCATTTTGAGCAAACGCAGAGGTCGCAAAAGATGCAGCTGATGTGATTAATACTAAGAGCTTCATTTTCGTAGCAACTGCTCGAGAAGCTTTCTAGAGATGAAAGAGAGAAAATAGAAAATTGTGGGCTCCCTCCTTCCTCTTTAAGAGAAAAACGGTAGGGATTTGTATTGAGCTGAGAGGGAAATCACAAGTGTCATAGTGAATACTGAGGGTAACCAAAAATCTCCTCCGCATATGAATCATATCGTAATTGGACTTTCGTGCAGCGTGGTAATTTCACACGGCATCATGCATATGGCTCGGGTAATCTAGACTAGCCTAGCCATAGCTTCATCTGCACGTTTCCGTGTCAAATTGGAAAAGTATGAACTCATACAGCTCTTCCCCAGATTATCAAATTAAAGTAAAATTTCCTTGTATATACCCGATGGCTGGACCCAAAAGTCTGGGGTTACTGGGGCCTAGCTTCGGAGGCTAGGAATGACTTTGTTCCTGTCCCTATGAATGGCTCGAGGGACGAGCTGCTCCGAATGTGCACCAACAAGAACACTCGACATGCATATACAATCGGTCCGAGAGTGTGACCGACGAACACTTGGGACGAGTTGTTCTTACCTAGGTATTGCAAGGTATCATGGTTCCGAATAGTGAATCGACTTCCCCTCACTTGGCGGGGTAGTGGTACAATTTTGATGGTCATTTGTGTTTGTGCATCCAATACATGCATAATTAGGCAGGGTTGACATCGGGTAAAGTACCGTAGATGTGGTTGGTCATTTCATTTGAGTTCATTTTGGGTATTCTCCCATGACCATCACGAGAAAAGGAAACTTTCCTAAGTCATGTGTCGTACTGTTGAGGCCAAGAACGAACGGCGCAGCGGCGAGCGTTTGGAGGCGCAGATAATAAGATGACAGAATGTGAACCGGTATTGAGCCGTCCATGGAACCAAATAACTGGTCAAGATTGAAACACGTGAGGAAAACCAAAGGCAGCATGTCAAGCAGTGGTGACTTCGATTTTGCCGACTACTTGACCTGCATCTTAAAATTCGATCGTGTCAAAGAACCTTACGCCTAGTACTTAAAAATTAGGCTTCTAGCAAATCAAGATAGAATAATAATGATAGTACTTCGGCATTTAGATGTAAGGGATGGAATTGCTCGCTTAGTAATGAAAATGAAGGGTAGAATATGCCTCTAGCTTGTAAGGATTGATTTTTAGATAATCTCTTACTTTTTCTCGAAGAAACTTGAATCGATAGGAAGCTATGTCTTGCAATAATAGGTCTTTTGTTTTTTCGCGACCAAACCACAATGCTGTTGATGATATTGATGAGTAAAGTTGAGATACTTTGATGTTCAACATTTCGAAATCACAACGAAATGGGTGGGGCAGCAAAGTTGTACCTGATATGGACCCTCAACCTCTTTTGCTCTTCAACAGTTTCCAGCTTGAGAGTTTATAGCATCACATCACCCCTCGAGACTCCGGCATTCGGTTAATGGGGAAAAAAATGCCAACACTCAAAGCTTTTCGGACAACCAGAAAGTCGTCTCAACATCAATTGGTGGAGACACACCCGAGTGATTAAACAGCTTTGGTTGTTAGATCTTACATGCGGAGCAACCCCCGCCGGGATGTAACCCGACTCGTGCAGGATGCAGTGAGCCACACAAACAAGAGAAGAAAAGAAAAACTCTTCACACCCCACTTTGCCTTGAATATAAAGCAGAACCACGCACTTTCATGCATCTTCAATCGATGATAAGTCTTTGTGGCTCAGTTGGTTAGAGCGTTGGTCTCATATTCCTATATGAGGTGATTGTTAACATTCACTTTAGCCATCCAAAGGTCGAGAGTTCGAGTCTCTCCAAGGACATTCGATTTTTTGGCTTCTTTTTTTGATGAAATTATACCCCGCTATTTTGCGAAGAGATGAAAGATTTCTTACTCTTTTGCCCCACCCGTTTGTGGATTAGACGTCGAACTGACTTCGAATTCATCTAAGAGCAAGGAATGGATTCTGTTGACTGTCGTGAATTCCATCATTTTGTGAATCATCCATCGAGGGATTATTGCAGCAAAGTTGCAGCAATACTTTTGAGGTGATGCTGATAGAGAACATGATGAATATTCATGCCTACATCTACGAGGTACGTATATCTATTGTCGATACACGATGAAGTCGATAAGAATTGTAAAAAGCTCAGATATCACCGACGAGATGTCGAGCACGCACGCGGTCTTTGGACGCCCGAAGATATTTTTCTTCGATCATTTCAGACCCTCCCCTCACTTCGTCGACATCAAGTTTCATGCTCTCAATAATTCACCCTCGCTGACAATATTTTCTTCTCCTCATACTCTTGGCATCTGAAGCATTTTAGATTACCTTTGTGATCACTACAGTTTATCTTCTGAGGCCGTCGCAATTCTGCCAAACACACAAATGTTTTGGAAGTTTAAAAAAGTGACCATAGCATCGAAATATTTACTTACTCCTATACAACTTCTATACAACGCAAGTGCTCACATGAATAGTCACAAATATCTAAATGCAGCATTCTCTCCTTTTATTACAAATACAGTCTATGTCCAAGTCAGACTGGTGAATAGTCATGTTTCGGTTTCAAAAATTGGGTGAATGTTTACTCCAACCGAAACTCTATACCCTGAGGATCCCCTCAAAGTACGATGGTCTCATCTCATTCAATAAATTCTACAGGTACTTTCCAAATTCTGTTGCATATCTGAGTTTCCCGAGGGTCAATTAAATGGATTCTTTTGGGTTTTGTTGCACATCTGGCTGGCCCGAGAGTTAAATAGATGGACTTAGGTGAATTCCACTCAGGGTTTGTTGCATATCTGAGCTTCCCGAGAGTTTATTACTTGATATTCTTGTAATTGGCGAGGTAATCACCTCATAAATTGCTTTCCCTCCATTACTTATTACCTAGGTACTGCTAAGTACTTAGACTTCTGTCTACCTATCTCATGCTACCCAATGAATACCATTCCCGTGAATACATAATTCTCTTGGCATACATAGCAAATGACTACCACAATCATGCATGAGATGGAATTATACGGCTATTCAAGAAGTGAATAAATACATCATCATTATTAATTTCCACAACATGCAGACTGATCAACAGCGAGTTCGCCGCATTCGCTCGCTTTACAGTTCCGTTATGTATTTCATTACGGCCGGCTTCACGATTCAACTGATATATCATCATATCAACTTGCACTTCTTCAGCTCCTCTGTCTACAAAATCTATCTCATTAATCTTTATGCAATTTGAGTGCGAGTTAGAACAAAATCATTCAAAATCATTATTTTTCTCTAACCAAAAGAAATTACTTCCGCTCATATTACTCGATCGATCTCACATCTTTACACCATCTATCTGGATAGCTTCACAAACCCTTCAAAACAAACCCTGTTATCTCATGACTCCTCAACCCACCCAATAAAACCCAAACAACAACACCCACCCACCACCCTCTACCCTCCAAACCATGAACACCAAATCCTTCGCCACCTACCCCATCCTCTCCTTCCCCATCACCACCCTCCTCCTAACCCTCTTCTTCATCTTCCTCCTCTACATCCCCCGCCTCCTCTACCTCTATCTCCGAACCCGCATTTTCCGTTTCTGGAAACGCAACATGGCAAAGCGGATATCTCATTTCGAGGCCCTTGATCTCGCGCGTTCGGCGCAGGGTTTGGAGGAGGGGGAAATGAATGGGAATAGGGATGGAAAAGATACAAAGAGAAAATCAAAACGAAGATGGGACTGGGATTTGGAGAAAGGAGAAGCAGAAGCGAAAGAAGAAGAAGAAAATGAATGGGTGACGAAGGGAGAGATGGCGAAGGAGTGGGTTTGTGAAGGAGAGGAGAAGAGGGAGGGAAGGAGGCTGGGACTGGTGGGGAATGGGAGGAGAGTGGCGGAGGAGACTAGGTGGTTGCATTGTGTGGGGAGGGATGGGGGTGAGGGGGAGGAGGGGAGGGAGTTTGGGGGTGGAGATAGGGAGGATGAGAACGAGAAGAAGAGGGAGAAGGAGGTGTGGTGTGAGATTCGGATGGATAAGGAGATTGGGGTTTGTGTTCAGTGAGAGAGGGAGGGATAGGGAATCTCCGGGAGGGCGCGGACACAAGCGCCTAGGGTATCATCATATTGTCTATATCTGGGTATCGATATAACGGGATTCCACAGCATCCGGAAATCTCAACTCCTCATTTCTAATCCCATAGTCACGAAACCTAAGAAGCACAAAATGTGAAGATGAAAGTCCAGTAAAATTTTTACAAAGGGAAAGATAGATAGATAGATAGATAGATAGATAGATAGTAGAGCTAGTCTCTCTCACAGTTTTCCCACATATTTTTATTTCAGTTGAGTATCGATAATTACGCTCTTTCAACTCTCATGAATGTAAAATTCGTATTCGTGATTTGGAATGTGAATTATGAATTCACGGATATTTTATAGGTATATATATCTATCTAGTATCTATCCATCCATCACCTAAGACGCATGCATCCAACAAATTTTCTATGAGGAAGTGAAGGAAGAGAAGAAGAAAAAGAAAGATACACAAAAATGAAGGGACGACAAAAGAATCACACGATGAAAGATTTCCATGAGATAACAATTGTCGCAATTACACAGAGAAATAAGACTCACATTCAGATTCAAGGTGCTGTGAATGAACCTACCACGATATATGCGAAGTCAATTTACATGATTCAAGCAAATCATGGATTGAATTAGATGTATTGAGTGATTCACAGGAATGAATGAGATTGATACGCGAGAGAAAGAAAAGGAGGAGAGAAGAGAGAGCGTACTTAGATGAAGGTCTTCGGGTTTGAGTTCATATTTGATATTGATTATCAAGACAATGAGATTCAAGAGTTGACTCCTGCTATCTTTGCAAAAAGAAAAAAAAAAGCTTTTTTTAGGTTTGTATTGACTATGTATGCTATCCATAAAGTGTTTATTTTATCTATGCCTTCCCATAATATAGATAAAAATTTGAAAATTGAAAATGAAAAGATGATTTCCCTCAACGCCATTTCGTGCATCGGTCCACCTATCTGTCCACCATTAAAAAAGAAAAAAGAGTATGTATGCTAGCTTAATGATTTTTCCACCGTCCATTCAATGATAAGAAGAAAAGTATTCGTAATGACAAATAAAAATATGCAAGAACTCCCAAACTATGCATGTATGCGCCCCCGCTTGGGTATGAAAATGTAAATGCGAATTAAAGCGCGAAATCAAATTCCTTGAAAGCAGCCTTGAAAGACTCAGCATCTTGTTTCTCCTCGGCCTCTGTTTGAGCACAGTCTCTCCACTGGGTTCTCTTTTCCAAACTTAGAAGTTTTGCTAGGACCGTTCTACCAAATTGGAGATTGAAGCGAACATTCCAATCAAATGGCATTGTAATGCATTTGGTAATTCCCTCTGGAGCTTCTTCAGTCGGAGGTGTCCAGATCCATACGCGAAAGAAATCGCCATCATTTTGACCGATTCCTGGATCCCTCACCTCGAAGGCTGGGTATTGAAGATTTTCGGCTTCGACTCGGAAGGCGGCTTCAACAAGACCCTTTTGGATGGTTTCAATAGGCATAGGAATGAGCTGCCAATGTGTATGAACACCATTGCCTTTACTGATCTCATAAGTAACAGCTCCCAGCTTGTTTTCGCTGCGTTGTGCAATCATTTTCTGCAGTGCCTCCTTGTATTTGTTCATTTCAACGTAGGTGTTATTTTTTGACTCTTCCTCCGGGATTAGGGCCAATGTAGGCGAATGAGAAAGAGGAATGATCAACGCATGTGCAGGAAAGTTAATGCCCAAGGAAGCATTTGTAGTCGCTGTAGTCAAAGGTCCTTTTGCAATTGTCAAATATGCATCATCGCCGATCGAAGCAATAAGGTGAGTAGCCAAGTTTGGATTTGAAAGACAGAAGAAACATTCACCAGGCCCAGGGGGTGGTTGTCTTTGACCTCTACGTCCTCGACCACGTTTATGATCATTGCCACCGCCATATCTAGAATATGGTTCCGGTTCAAGAGCTGTTCGTTTCCTCTCGTTGGGCCGAGCTACAAATGGCGACGCTGTGGTACCAGTGGGCAATGGAGCAGTTGGGTCGACTGTTGCTTGTAAAGTGAATGCATATAAGGCTTTCTGTTTCCGAGGATTGCCATGAGGAGCCAAGGAAATGAATCGAGTGAGGGGTCGAACGTCAGGTTCATCTGAAGTTGGGGCGTGAAAGAAAGGTTCTCGCTCATAAAAACAATCCGGAGACGCAGAAAAGTGATAACGAGGTTTCAAAGCTGCACAAAGATCTGCGATATGATCTCCTGCAACGGGATCTTTTGAGTCATCAGGGATTGGTATTTTGGATCCCGTTCGAATCGATTTTGGCCACAGGGTCGTTAAAAGAATATCCGCCGTGTGCGCTCCATGAAGAGCTTTTGCATCTCCAACAGTATGAAAAGGTAGATACGATTCCTTCGATAAACCTCCAATGATATTCTCATCAAGTTGACCACCGAGCGCAACTATCTTAATTCCTTCTGAAGTCTTCGTAGTACTCCTCTTTGCGAGATAGTGTAGGTTTGGACATATCTAAGAGCATGAGTGTTGGGATTCCCCGCGTTCAAAGGGTCAATTAACGCACCTCCTCATCTTTCTCAATCTTCTCGATGATTTTTTGGGGTAAAGGTAATGATCCGACAGTAAAGTATGTAGGTAAAGGTATGGGTATCTTTCCCGTAATGAGGTCTGTAACTGTATCTTCGGCTTCTGTGTCTTCAGCTCCAGCGAAAAGGTTCCCAGCCACGATAGCAAGGGCAAAGTTATTCTTGAGTTGCAGCGATGTTAATTTGGTAAAGACATTGCGTATGTGACCGTTCACGTCGCCGAGAACAATTCTGTCAATCAATTAGTTCAGTTCGCAAAAGGTGAGGTGAGGTAAGTTAACATGCGACCATAAATGGAAAGAAAAGCTCAGAAATACCGCCAATACCTATCGTCATTGAACTTTTAAAAGAGAAAACTTACATCTTAGATGCCATGTTGATCTTTGAAGCCGCCAGATTGTGTGAGAACCGTAGGTTGTGGTGAAGATCCAAAGCCTCAGAATAGTATGGTATCGTAAGGATAATATTTACTTCAAAAGTTCTTTGCGACGCGATTTGACTTCTCGATAAGAAAGCTCGAAAGCTCATATCTTAGCGTCACGCTAATGCAAGGACGGCAGAGTGGAGACTCTTGCTCGGGCGGTCAAAAAGGGCAGAAAATGATGGCAAAAAGAAGTGAAATAGAAGAGAAGTAAAGAAAAGTGAATGATAAAATTCAGTACAGAGATGATAAAGGAGAGAGAGGAAAAGGAGTAATGAGGTGAAAGAAGAGGGTTAGAAGGTGCTCTAGATAGAATTTCATGGATTGATAATAGAGAGACTTTATCCATTGACTACCTACCTACCTACTGATGAACTCTAACTGGTAACTGCTTATATAAGCAAACATCCATTTCTTCTTATCAAAAAATAAAAATTTCCATTCTCTCTGCGATTGTGGATTTTCGTTGATTGGGGACGACATAACTTCACGATGCCTGCCACAACCTCCGGAAGAATAATTAAGACCCGTAAGGGCAAGAAGGGTACTGCCCATCAAAAGAATCATCGATGGGAATCTTTCACTACAAAAATCTCGAAATTAAACTCCCTCGATCCCTTACGAAGAGTTCGTCGTCATGACCTCGATGCCGAAGATACTTCTGCGACAACCTCATATTTCAAAGCCAGTCTAGAGAAATGGACCGAACTCAATTTGTCGTCTGGGTTCCAATCCTTTACGGAGGAGGTACTTCCATTATGCGACAGTTTACCGCAGATTCTACATTTCCAGGATAAGATTATGGGTCTCTTCGTCACTTATATGGAGGGAAACCAAAGGGAATCATTGGAGCCATTGTTGGAGTTAATTACAGATTTTGCCCATGATTTGGGTCCTCGATTCGAAAAACATTATGCGAAAGCTTTGGAATTGGTTACGTCGACGATAGCAGGCACTGGAAAAGATGTCGCAGTTATAGAATGGTGTTTTACATGCCTCACATTTTTGTTCAAGTATTTGTCAAAACTTATTGTACCAGATTTACGACCTACATATGATTTAATGGCACCATTGCTCGGAAAAAGTGCCCAACCTCCACATATTGCCCGGTTCGCTGCGGAGGCTATGAGCTTTCTCATCAAAAAAGCTGGCGCACCTGCCCACCGAGCGAAGGCTCTTCCATTAATCGTAAACCATGCGAAATCAGATCTTTTGAGTATCGCGGATACCAAACAATTCGGCCTATACTATCATGGAATAATGACCATGTTTGCGGAGGCTATGAAGGGTAATGGGTTAACCGTACATACGTCGGGTTCAACGATTTTCAAATCTCTTTTCCTCGCCATTGAAGAGAGTGACTTTGGAGAGAAAGAGGCAATGCCGTGGATTGACGTTATATGTGGTGTTTTGACCAGTATAGTTCATCATACAACCCCGGAAACAATCAAAGAGATCCTTGAACAAGTACTGGAGGAGGCAAACACTATCACCGATTCCTTTACACAGTCAACGACAATGTATGACTTCAACAAACTTTTACTTTCAGCGCGGACCATAGGGATTGTAGCTGGTGTTCGGCGAGCTTCGAGAGTTCAGAATTGGCCAGCCTTGTTACAAGCATTATCTAATATTTTGAAGGCAGTCTCCAAGAACGCATCTTTTGTGGCAGCCGACGACAAACATTTGGATTTGTGGAAATACCTCATTGAAAGTATAGCTATTGCTCTGACATATTCTCCAATGGATTCTACAATCCCGTTTATTGCCCCTTTCATGGATGCCCTGACCAAGGATCCGTTGGCCAAATGGTTCTTGACATTTTGCTCATATTTGTCACAAGGAGAGCCTGAACGCTTCCAAACTATTGCGTTACCTTACTTCAAAAGGTGAGTTCAATTATTTCATTTATCTGCAACCACATGCTAATTTGATCCTAGATTCATTGTTACGCACTGGTCTGACGCGGAGAATGGAGATACCTTGTGTGTATTATTACCAAAGATGGTCGCCTCAGGAGTACTTCCAAGTCAATATGGAAAGGATGCATTTTCGTTACCACAGTCTTGGCAGGACCAGATTGTCAGCAAATTTGAACGATTAGAACTACAACCATTCCCGGAACAGGTATCGCCAGCTACATATAATCGCAGCCCAAAAACATGGCATGATCGATGCTTACCTAAATATAATGCTCTATTAGAAATCTTGGAGTGCACTGCTGTACATCCTTCAACGAACGCAAGAATATCGGAAATCCTACTTCGCAAGCTCAAACTTGCACTCAGACCATCTTCTTCACTTGCGCCAGAGGAAGCTCATTTCATCGTTGGTCGAGGGTTCAGTGCTTTCTCTCGCATGACAAAAGGAACTGGTGAGGCTGACAGGGCTTTGGAACCATTATTACGTGCAGCAGCCCCTCGATATGCCCGATTGCCAAATTTCCTAGAAGCTTTACTAGGCTACAAGGCCAGTCTCAAATTGTCTCCTAAACCCGACGGTGTCAAATCGGACGAGGAAGAGGATACCAGTGACTCTGAAGCCGAGTTCGACCTCTTGGTACGATCTTTGGTAGAGAATCTTTCATCCGAATCTAGCGAATTGCGCCTTCTTTCTCTGCGATTACTGGAGCATATTCATGATACTGATCATGGAAAATCTTCGGAAGCAATTACACTCATGATCATGATTGAGCAGACTCCAATGGATTTGCAATCTGCTCGTTCCGCTTCTATGCATATTCGCAAGCTTGCTTCAATCTATACTTCACAGATGGCGATACCTTGGATGAAATATGCTATACCATCATTTTGTTTTGGTATGCTTACTGTAAAGATGGCGCAAATCTGGGACGATGCTAGTGCTGCCCTCAAACAGATCTCAGAATCGAAAGTTGGTGAGGAAGCAGTTGCAGTCTTGACATTCAAGTGGTTAGAAACACCATCAGTGAGATGGAGCGGGCCCCCCGCACCCATGCAAAAGGATCAAAACAACGGATTAACCGACTTTGAGTGTTCTAATTTGAATAACTTGGACAAACTTGCAAAAGAGACTGAGTCGGAAGTTCTCAATGCACGTGATACTATGCTTCAAAAATTCGAGGTTGCTCAACAACTAGTGGATGCTCAACCGAATACTGCTAGATCTCAGGCTCTTCGTGTATTGGCTGCAATTCCTATGATTGGTGAAAGGCGATCTCGACAGCTCATTCCAATGTTCCTCTCTTGGGCCGGCAAAGCATCGGAGGAGATTGATCAGACCGGAGATGAAGACGAGGCTGTCGTGAGCGACTGGACAAGAAAAGATCAGAAGGCTCTTTTGGATGTTTTGGGTCTTTTTGGCAACCCGAAGTCTATTTTCAAGACAGATGAGGTTTACGAAGCACTTTTACGATTATTGGCGAATGGTGACATTGAAACTCAGAAAGCTGCCTTGAAAGCCGTCTTAACATGGAGGAACAAAAGCATCAAACCTTACTCTGAGAACCTCTTGAATCTGCTGGATGAAGCTCGCTTTAAAGATGAAATCACGATTCTCCTTCAGGGACAAACTCTGGTTCAACCTGAGCATCGCGAAGCACTTATGCCAGTTCTTCTCAGATTACTCTATGGACGTACAATTTCTCGAAAAGGCGCTGCGAGTGGAAAACAAGGAATGGAGGCAAGAAGACTGACAGTGTTAAGAAATTTGAGCGTTGAGGATATTGGAGGCTTTTTAGATATTGCCCTTGGTGATCTCAAAGATTTGGATTTGGTGAAGGATGGAGCAGTCCAAATGCCAATCTTTGAAAAGGAATTATTGGGTGCAAGGAAGCAAGTTGGTTTCACAAACATGATGGAGTCAGTATTGAAGGAATTAGCCACTAAAGTTGTGCCTCTCACTCGAAAATTACTGGAAGCTGTCTTATATTGTACAGTAATCGCCACACGACAACTGCAGGGAGAGCATGTTGAAGAAACTGAAGATGAGGAAGTTTCCAGCAAAATTTCTCTCTTCAAAGTTGTTCGACAGACTGGATTGAAGTGTCTCGTACTACTGTTCAGCAACTCGACAGATTTTGACTGGTCTCCCTACATGGATCTAATTGTGACCGAAATTGTTCTGCCAAGACTCGATAACTTACCAATCGAAACAGCTCAGGGCATCTCCGGTCTCCTTAGATTGTTTTCCGTCTGGTCATCTTCGATGAAGACAGTGTTACTTCTTGGTAGCCACGAAAAAATCTTACCAAAAGTAGCAGAGTGTTTAGCACCTCCAAAATCGAAGGATGAAGTCAAACTATTTGCTCTTTCCATCATCCGGGGTGTCATTAAATGTGCACAAGAAGAAGGAGCAGAGGGCGACTCAGTGAAGCAAGAGCTTCTGAATCCCAACATGGATCAATGTCTGATTCAAATTGGAACAATTCTACGCGACCAGAACGACATGAGCAAAAATCTGTTAGAAGGTTGTGTCGAAACCGTTTCCGAGTTGGCGCCTTTCGTATCGACTTCCACACAAGGTCGCAACTTGGTGGATGTATCTGTATTCTTACTTGATCAACCCTCGCGTAGGGTTACCCCTAAGACCAAAGCCGGCTTACTTCTGGTTCTAGAGCATTTTGTACCTCTCTACGATCTTCAAAACGATGTTGACCTCAGGGATCGTGTTTATCATACTATCACTTCCTTATTTGGTTTCTTCAAAGACAAGGTTAGCAGAGAGGTACTATCACGTGTACTATTGGTGTACTCAGACAAAGATCCTGTCTTGAAAGAAGTAGCCGCCTTGTGTTCAGATCTCAATTCTTTTGCCCAAGGACGGCTCGATGAACCAGATTACGATCGCCGAGTGAAGGCTTTCCACGCCATCAACGCCAAAAGAGATGTCGATTTCAATTCTCATCAGTGGTCACCACTACTTTTCAACATGCTATTTTATATCAAGCATGATGAGGAACACGGAGTATTGTCAT